GGAATGAGCGCTGTCGGGAGGGGTCTTCACGGGTTGAGGTGGGGGGTCTCCAACAGGCAAATCTGTGTGGTAACCTTTCCAGATCCCACCAAACCTCCCTGCGGCTCTCTTTACCCTCTGGGGACCTTCCCACCTCTTCGTTGTTCTTTTGGGGTCACCTTGATTTTTTTCAAGACCCTTAAGATTTTAAAATTTTGTTATTAAGGTTTAGTGAAATATTAATAACACAAAACAAAAACTTCTGGCTTACATTTCCGTTTGTAGATAGTGCCACTTTAATTCGACCAATGACTGATATAAACCATTTTAAGGCACTAAAACAGTTTGACACAGAATTTTTGGCATGAAAGTGGAGAGGCAGTGAGGAGAAGAGAAAGACGCTAACATTTATTAACCATCGCTGTGCCAGGAGCTTTTAAGTGCCATCTCAGTCTTTCCCAAACACACCACTCCACCTGTATTAAATTTTACCCAACATGTTTCTTTAAATCACCCCTAGTCTAACTTTGTACCTACTTTAGCTTTATCCTAAGTAATAATGTCTGTGAAATCATGAATTTGCTACACTAATCCACATTAATTCCAACACATGGAAATAAAAATGTTGACCACCTAAAATCACCTCATTGGTCACACTTTGGGAAACTGCATTATCTCCTTAATTCTCCCGGCCATGCTAAGAGTTGGAATAAAATGAGCTTCCTTGAAGCAAAGGAGTAAACAGAGCCTTAGAGCAACACTCCCAAGGTCACAGAGCTAATAAGTGATTAAGCAGGGCTTTAAGTAAGTTCTTCTATGTTTATTTATGTTTGCCACACTGCGGAGGCTTGTGGGATCTTAGTTCCCCGGCCAGGGCTTGAACCCATACCCTCAGCATTGAAAGTGCAGAGTCCCAACCACTGGACTGCCAGGGAATTCGCATAAGTAAGTCCTTTTAAACTGGATTTCACCTGGAGGGTGGGGGGAGGGGCACATCCTCACTCCTAGGGACCATTAGGCCTAGGGCATGGGGTGTCTCTGCTCTGCCGATGGTCGTAGGCCAACCTCTCACCCCCTAGGGAAGCCACCACCTTACCCGGGCCAGGCTGACTCCGGCGGGGACCTTGTAGGGCACGTACTTCCTGTAGATATGGCCCACCCTGGAGCAGGGAATGTCCTCCATGCGGCCTCCACACATCCACACCTGCAGGGTGAGAAGTGAGAGAAGATGATATTTCTGCCTCCAGTTCACGGCCTCCTCAAAGGCGAGCATTCCTTCATGCATTCATCGGAAGCATCAGCGTGGACTGTGTACTAAAGCCCCCATTCACAGAACTAGGGATGTAGGAAAACACTGCAGAGACAACAGCAGTAAAAACAGCTCACGGCATCGAGTGCGTACTCATGGCCAAACACTACGATATGGGCTTCGCACGCACAGCTGCACGGAAGCCTCATCAGAAAACCCATAAAGTAGGTAGTAACGGAGCTCCATTTTACAGATGAAGAAACCGAGGCTCAGAGAAGCTAAGAAACTTCTCTAACGTCACAGGGTTGGTACATGGTGGAGCCAGAATTCAGAGCCAGCTTGGGCTGACTCTAGAGTCTGAGATCTGGACAAGTGTGAGAATTGTGAGGGGGTAGCGGGGGCTCCGTGGGAAAGACTGTGGTGATCAATTCGTGATGCTGTCCGCAGGTATGACAGGGGACAAGGTGGCACACAGGCTGTGTATTTGCCGACTCTGGCATTAAATGCTGTTGTTTCCTTCTAGATCTTGCTGGGTCACCCTGAGCAGTCCCCTGCCTCCCTGCCCTGACTCTGCTGCAGGGTGGCTCATGGGCAAGGCTGCCTGTGGTGTGGCAGCTGATGCTTCTCCTTGTGTCTCCCTCCACAACCGGTATCACAGAGATCTCCTGAGTTGGAACCCTGGTCTGACAACAGTGTGGGAATTCTTAACAAGTACAATCAACCCACTGAGGGGCCCAGCCTAAACAGACCCCCTCTGGCAGTCCTGGGTTCAAATCCTGACTCAGCCACTATACAGCTTTGTGACTTGGATCAAGGCACCTAACTTCTCTGAGTCTCAGTTTCCTCACTTGTAAAGGTTTAAATGAGGCAGGCTCAGGGGATGCGGTATTGTAGGTAAGGTGCTTAGCACAGGACCTGGCACCCAGTCACAGCAGTGTGAGATACTACAAATGATGGATTCATACATTTGATCGATATTTATGGAGTGCCTGCTACATGCCACACACGCTGCTGGGCACAAACAGCAGTGAATAAGTTGGCCAAGGCCCCTGCTCTCATGGAGGCGGAGTGTGGTGGCCAGACTCCGAGATGCCCCCAATGGTCCCTGCCTCCTGGTATTTGCACCCTCCCAAATGAAGCACATGAGGACTGACCTGTGTAACCAACAGGATACTACAGAAATGACGAAGGACACTGTGGCTCCCACCTTGCTCCCCGGGGGATCACTTGCTTTGGGGCAGTCAGCTGCCATGTTGTGAGGACACTCAAGCAGCCCCATGGAGAGGTACAGGTGGTGAGGGGCTGTAGCCTCCTGCTAATAGTGCTAATCCTCCCACCACATGAACGAGCCATCTTAGAAGTGGCTCCCCCAGGGAATTCCCTGCTGGTCCAGTGGCTAAGACTCTGTGCTCCCAATGCAGGGGGCCCGGGTTCCATCCCTGGTCGGGGAACTAGATCCCGCATGCATGCTGCAACTAAGAGTTCGCATGCCGCAACTAAAGATCCCATGTGCCGCAACTAAGACCCGGTGAGCCAAATAAATAAATAAATAATTTTTTTTTTTTTTTTTTAAAAAGGCTCCTCCAGCCCCAGTCAAGCCTTCAGATGACCACAGCCCTGGCTGATACCCTGACTATAACCTCATGAAAGACCCAGGCAGAACTATGTTGCCAAGCCACTCATAAATCCCTGCCCTGCACAAACTTTGAGGTAATAACTGTCTATTACGGCTCTAAGATTATGTTTTTCTGTGGCAGTAGATAACTAATACAGGGACTTTCAGATGGTGATGTGTGATCTATGGAAGCCAAAGCAAGGTAACTGGATGGACTCACTGGATGGATGGATGGGATGCTGCGCTACCCCCACCTGTCAGGGAAAGCCTCACCTAGAAGGGAGTATTTGAGGCGAGACCTAAATGATGGGAAGGTAAAATAAAATAACGATCTGAAGGGTGAGAGAGCAGGTGGAGAGAAGAGCGAGTGCAAAGGCCCTGGGGTAGGGAGCCAGAGGCCTGGAGCAGCGGTTGCAAAGGCAGGAGTGAGGGGAGGGGAGGTCGTAGAGGTGAATGGAACAATCATAAGGGTCTCTTGCAGCAGAACTAGGAGTCTTCACTGCAAGTCTTCAGTGAGGGAGACAACACAATCCACCTCTCTTTTACAAAGATGACTCTGTGAAATGCAGGATGGCCTGTAGGGTACAGGATTGGGGGAGGGAAGGTCTAGGGGGCTTTTGTAGATACAAAGCAGTCATGGCTTAGGGTCTGTGGGACTGTGGCAATGGTGGGACACGGCTGGATTTGGGACATTTATTATTAATTTCATTACTGTATTCCCTCATTTGTGGAGTGAAGAGCAGGAGTGGGAATATCTACAACCCCGATTCCGTGCAAAAGAGCCTTTTCCACCTTGAACTGCTTGACAGGATTCTGGGGATTCGTATCTTGATTAATTCAGGGGCTCTAGAAGGGCTCCTTGCACACTTGAGGGGCCTCAGTCCCCCATCACTTCCCGCCAGCAACTGTCTCCTCCCCACCCCAGATGTACTCTGTCCTGGGCTTCCCACAGGGGATAGGCATGCATGTGGGCTGCAATTAGTGGAAATGCTGCCTGGAGAAATGCGATTATATTCTGATCTTGGGGGAGAAAAAAAAAATCGAGCCAGTCAATAGAACAGAACATTGGTCTTGAGATAATGGGATCCTGATGGTAGATTAATGTCAAGGCCAAGCCAAGAAGTTTATTTTCAAAGCAGGAGACATTGATCAGGTGCCAGCATCCTGTAACAATAACTCTCCCTTTATACAAAGTGACTGATGTGGAAGCAATGTTTTTGTCTGGTGGATATTGCCCAGGTCGCCGCTGGGCTGCCCTTGCCTTTTGGAAGGCAGAGCAACACTGAGCAGGTGGAGGACACTTTACCCTGCTCTATTTGTGAATGTCTCCTGGGCAGCTGACTAGGCCGGTGTCCAGCTCTCTCGACTCCATATTAAACTCACATTAGCTAATGAGGCTGTGTCTCTGGCTCTGCTTGGCAGGGAACCTTCCTTTATGCAGACGGATTATCAATTTCCAAATCCTTCCCTGTGCTGTGACCTCGGGTTTCTTTGGCCCTGACCACGCTGGCCATCAGCCGGAAGGTTCCTGAGGGCCCAGGGTGACCTTGATCTACTCAGAGGTTTGAGGCATCCAAAATGCCCTCAGATTCCTGGGATGTCTGCAGCCCAGGATGATGAGTTTACTCCACGGCTTCCCTGCCCTGGACATGACTCTCTGACGGCTGAGTCAGAACTCGAACTGCCTTTAGAGAGACGCACACCTGTTCGGCAAAAGCTGCTGCCAAGCCCTGAGTCCTCTGGGAGCACCTGAGCAGTCTGAGAGGGGCCCAGCTCAGGGTACACTCAACCCTTCAGAACTCCCTCTGGCCCCCCAGAATACATCATACACAGCAGGCACCACCCCCGTGGTGTTCGCTGGTTATCTGGCAGGATCCCAAGACTGGAGGCGACGCTCCATCCCGGGACATGATAAAAGCTGGAGGCATGCAATTACAACGTGACTTGCCGTGGGCTGGGGAGCTGGGCAGATCTGGTCCTGGACTCGAGGTTCAGCTCATGGCCCATGTCACCTACCTGTGTACCTTCAGGCCCCCCACCTCCCTCCCTTCACAGCTGAGGCAGCAGCCACCCAAGACCCACAAAAACCACAACACTGTTTTCCTATCCCAACGCCACCAGTGCAGCGGTGTGTGAGCTGGGGATGACAGTCACTGCTACCTTGCAAGGCTGCTGAGATGGACTGAGACAAGCTGTGAAGACCGCTCAGCCTGATGCCTGGCTGTAGCAAACCTGATTAATGTTAGTCATTTCTATTTGCGAAAGAACGAGAAATACCACCACCTTGAAATGATACAGTATTTGCCCTTCTGCCCAACACCATGGTATTTTTTTACCCTATGGCCTGATTTCCCAAATGGATAAAGTGAAGCTCAGAGACATGATGGAGTTTTTCAAACAGACTTCGTGGCAGAACCTGAAACTGACCAGGAGAATGACACTGACAGGCGGGTGGGGTACAGTCACGGGGCTTGGTTGCCTGAGGGTCTTCGCCTCTCCCCCAAGTAATACACCGGCAGAAGAGCCCAGCTGGTGGCAGAGAGAAGGGGAGCTGCAGAGCTGGCAGCAGCTGCAACCGTGTTTGGCCGGGACCCCATCATATATGGATGGGGACAAAGACAGGCCACTGAGATGACATCTTGCAGCCCCTCTCTGCTGTCAGCTTTCTTCCCTCCCTCCCCTCCATGCTCTTCCTAGCATCCCCGCGGGGGGTGCAGCTGTCTTCTCCATAAGGAGTTTCACCATAAGGAGTTTCCAAACACACCCTGCCATCTCGCTCCTTGGTGCTGTTTTCTCCTGTGGAACAGTCTTCTCCCTGGAAGCACCATGCCACTAGACAAGTACAAATCTAATTGTAAAAGCTTGCTCGCCATTCATTTTCATTGCTGCTTTGATTTATTTTATTAGCAAACTTCTTTTGTGTGATGACAGGCTTCATTACAGTGTCTATAAAACACAATTACTCGCTCTTACCTCCTAAACTGAGGAGGAAAGAAACGAGTGGTGATGAGCTTCAGGAAGACACAGTGGGCCCCGGTGAGTGCGTGGCAAAGGGGCCGTGCTGCTGAGGGGACCGCGAGTGAGCAGGGGTGGGGCGAAACCTCTCTCTCAAGGAAACGGCTGCCTGGAAACCAGTCAGTCATGGATGGGCACCCTACCTGCCCAGGGAGGGGAGAAGACACCAGTCAGCCATGGCTTTTGCTGCTGGCAGCTCAGCTGAGGACCCCGATGAAGTCCAAACCCTGTTCAGTTGCGCTTGGGAGCTGCACCATTAATATGCAATTAAAAGAATAATCGTCACCAATTATCCTGCATTATCTCTGAGCTTAGGAAGAACACA